CTCAATGCTCTCTGAAGGCCTTGATAAAAATATCTTTTAACCCTACATAAAAATTTTCTTTTATTTGAAAAAAATTCCATGGTTTGTCTTTAGCCTTCAATACTTCACATAGGTTTTGAAGATTGAGTGGATCCTTCTCCTTGATTTTGACCACATGGAAGTAGCATGTTTGAGATTTCTCTAGGTTACCTCAAACTGTGATGACCTCCCAATCACTGAAAACTTTACCGCTATATTGTACGTTGAAGTGAAAGCCTTAAATTTGTTGAGTGGTCATCCGAAGATGGTGTAATAGGCCAATGGTGAATCGAACACAAAGAAGTCCTCCTTATTTTTGAATTATTTTTCATTTTCTCCTTAGGTGACTGACAGAGCTCTTACTCTCAAGGCTTATTTTCTCTTGCTAGAGAAGCCTTAAAGCGGACTAGTAGTTACTATTGGTTGGTCATTTATCAAGCCCATCTTGTCGAACGCTAACTTTAACATGATGTTTAAAGAGCTACCAATATTGACAAGTATACTACAAATTTGATAGTTAATTATCAAGGAAGTAATGGCTACAGTGTTGTTATAATGATTTCCCTTAAAGGTGGCATATCTAAGTAAGTAAACAAAATAAGGGGATGTGAGCTTCATTTTGGGGTGAAGGGGACAACACACATTTCTCCCGATTAGAGCCTCTTGATGTTGTCTTGGCAAGATAATTCTCTACCTCCTTCAAAAATGGTTGGGATTACGCCAGTGATGTAAATGAAATATGCCTGGATCGGCTCATCCAAGTTTTTCTCTAGTTGAGTTTCTCATACCGTTGGGTGTTTGTTCTCGATCCTACAAACTTCTTTTGTTTGTCACCTTGATCAGTTTTTCGTGTCGAGGTGTTGATAAGCCTTTATATTATAGTTGTGATTCTAATGGTATGTACAATACTTCTTCGTGTCTCAAAGATAGGCTCTGGTCTTCATCGGGGGAGCTCTTCTCATGTACTCCTTATTCGAAATGGCTTATATTATCTTAACCATTTCTATCCTCAACTGGGTTATATTGGGAGCTTCATGATGGGCTACTGGTAACTCATTGTACAAAGCCAACCACTGATCAGGACATCAGGACTGACTCCTATTGTTATAGGCTCTTTCAACTTATCTGTGGTTTATGGTCAATTAATTTTCCACATATGGTGGGCAAGCAGAAGGACATTAATCATCCCTCTCTCTTACCTTGTCATTCTTGGGTGCCCTCTTCTACAGAAGATGGTGGAAGACTTTTCTCTGACGGAAGTGGGGGTGGAATCTTAATCTTCAACCGATATGAGGTTGTTGGCTAGGTTCAAGAACTTGGCTGAGGTTTGCTGTTGTTGTATGTATAAATAATAATAAAACGAGCCTTTCTTCAATCCTTTTCGAAGGGCGACATGCGTAACTACAGGTTCAAGATCCTACAATTTCATCATATCTTTCTGGAATCCAATAACAAATGAGCATATGCTCCCATTCTTCCCCTACCTTATCTTCAGAAGGGCTTGTGAACTCGTTTGAGGCTTTTGGGTGATAGCAAATTATGCAACAAAAATCCTTTTTAAGTCAATAAATGAGGTAATCACCCATGACAACAATCTGTTGAATCACCTGAGGTTCGACTCCCTTAGCATGGATTAGAAAAGTTGAACGTCAGTGCATTTGTGATCTTCAACAAGCTAACATTTGATTAAAAGGAGGCTAAGTGGTCTACTAAATCGGTACAAGTTTTTTATGATTCTAGAAAATACTTTCATATGCTAGCATGGTGCCTCAGTGCACTCAAATTTCTATCTATCCATTAGTGTTGAGGCAGACTTATAAAAGTATTGAGAATATATTTCCCTTTCAACAAGTAAGGGTGCCCTTCAGCCATCAAGCACCAACCCTTCCACTCAAGGGTTTTGCTCTTTTTCCCAAGCCAATGCCTCTTTAAGGGCACACATCATCTTGTTTAGCTCCTGGATTTTTTGTTGTAAAAAATCCTTGTTGCACTCCATGTTATTGATGTCTCTATTAGGGTTTTCTTCTTTGTGTGTTACTTCTATTTTTGTCTGTGGCATGATCCAAGTTGACCACACCTTTTAAATTGTTGAGTTCTGATTTTTAGTGAATCAAACCCAAGGAACAAACCTAAGATGGGGTAGAGAGAGAGAAAATTGCACAGTAATGAAAAGTAATCTAATTTGTTGATTATCGCTTTTTCAGGAATCGACCCCTCTATTTATAGAAGAAATGATACAATATATGTAATTATATATTTTCCCTACTTTAATGGAGGCGTTATAGATTATTTTAGGCATATTACATGTTCAAAACCATGATCCAGTTGCCCTATGACTTTGCAGGTTGAAAACAATAGATCTTAGCTCTATAAGTCCTACTCTTATGGTTGTACTGAATCTGGTTTGTTGGCCAGTCTTTGTTGGTCTTTTAATTCATAAGGATCGACTCTATCAACTTAGTTTTACCGGTTAGTTGTTCTAGTGTAGTTGTCAACTGTTGATCCCTAATTGAAGAGCTCCTATTGGTTGAATAAAAATAGGATGTCGAGTAGATGGTGAATCACTGTAATCCGACATATAGCTCATTCTTTGATGAGAGAGTCCTTTGGGATGCTTCATTGATTACGTAATGGCCAATTCTTGGCCCTTGATGAGGAATCCCAAGGGCGCCCGTCAGATGGCTCGAAAGACTATACTCTTCCCATGAGTCAGTTTTGGTAAGAGGTATGTCAATACCTCTAATAAGTTTGGATAGGCTTAGTCTATGGTTCAGATGACATGCATCCAGTCGACCTCTAATGCCTGTTCAAGGGGGATGTACCTAGTCAAGTAGGTCATCTGATATTCCGCTAGTGGGCCCTTTGTTCACCCGCTTATGGGCCATTTGATCTTTCATCTGTGGGCCTTCTTTAGCCATAATTATTTGTCGTTTAGTTCGTTGGATCTCCTTGAGATTTGTGCTAACTCATTTTTGAAGTACATGTTGCTGTATTGTACCAAATATGTTTAATAATTAGCCCACCTCACAATAATTGTCTTATTAATTCCATATAAACCTTTGTGTTGGTTCATCAAATTAGGCTCAAGGTACTTCAGGGGAAGTTTGAAAATCAGTGCTTAGTGGGTGTGTTTAAGTTATATGTGTATATAATAATAATAGTCTAAGAATATTTATTTATTTATAGAGCATTTTTTATTTATTTAAAGCTTAACTCAATGGTTAGTATTAATTATTGAGTTTTAAAATTATATGGTCAGTTTTTTTTTTTTTGGGAAAGTTTGGGGCTTTAAGATCAACTAGACAAAAAATAAATAAATAAATAATAAATAAATAAAAAAACCTAGACATTCAAACAAACAAAATAGCACCGAAAGCATGGTGAAATTCTATTACACAATCAGAACTTGAAGTACGCAAATCAAAATGGAAAATTCAAAAAAGACTTACTACACCATGAACCGCAACTAAAAACTCAATCCTTTCAATCGAGGACGAAAATAAAGATCGACAATAGATGATATCAAGAACCTGCACATCCAGTCGAAATTCGGCTTTACATAGTGCAGCTGAAGCTGAATCTCCAAAGGAAATCAATCATTAAGAGAAAACAGGATCCAAAGAACCTTCAAAAAGAAACTAACCGAAGAGCAGAACCCTAGAAGAAAACTAGAGATATTGAAACTAGCAAGTAAAACAATTGAAAAATAGATGAACATTTTGCTAAAAAGGCTCCAGGCACATTTCCAACATAAATTTTTTGTGAGGGATAAATCCTTTTTGAATTTTCATCTTTTTGCTTTTTTGCGTTGCAGCCTTACGAATATTTTGATCCAGAAAATCAGGGCTATTGAAAGCAAGGTCAAAGTGCTTAGCTTCTTATTAGAAAGCCTTTTTCTTTTCAATTTAAAATTTTTGTACGAGTGTGTTTAATTCTTGATCTTCAATTATCTCTGTTGGTCAATGCTTTTTAAATATGCTAATTGTTTAATTTAGCTACTTCGATCCAATTAATGGTTTAATTAACGCCTTCTTTTTCAATTGAATGTCGATTCCCAACAAAGGCCATTAATAGGTTCCATAGAGGATTAATTGTTCCGTGAGAGAAACTCCTATATGCTCGTTAATTTCACTGTTCAATCTAATGACAGCGGCATGAATGAAACATCTGGCCTAATAGTAAATCATGAGCAAAATAGCAATGAGAATTGATTGGGAACCGAAATTTACGAAAAAAAGAACTTAGATTAAGAAGACTTAGAATGGAAGGGGAAATATCTTCGCCAATTTGGGGTTTTTTGTAAGAAGGGTGGGTAACGTCCTCAAAAAAAATATACAGTCAACCACCGGCAGTCACGTCGTCAAAACCCCTCATTGGAGGGTAACATGACGGCCAGCGGTTGGCCTTCCTGACGTGCGGACGTTTGGGCGAAATATTTTTCCCCAATTCAACCCCAATGGCTCGCTCGATTGTTGGGCCATATAATATTATAAAAAAAATAAAAAATTTAAATTTGCCCCGGTCTTGAAGGCAATAATACCTATGCTCCTGGACGTTTGGGCGAAACATTTTTCCCCAATTCAACCCCAATGGCTCCCTCGATTGTTGGGCCATATAATATTAAAAAAAAAATAAAAAATTTAAAATTGCCCCGGTCTTGAAGGCAATAATACCTATGCTCCCGTATTTCCGCCGCTTCTAACATTAACAATTTACCATGCAAGTGAATTATTACCGCTAAATCGTTAATTTGCTCTTAAAAATACTTAAACCATAATTTATTTGGCTAAAGATGCTATAAAAAAAAACTACTCGCTCACTTGTATCACCTACCGTCTACCAACCGCGCTGACCAAAGCTACCAAGTACGAAATGGTTTGTCGCCTGACTCGTCGAGAGGTCCTGGTCTCCTGACTCATCCTTCAACTATAAAAGTCCCCCCATCCATCTCCATTGGCCATTCATATTTCTTCTCTCCATATCATAGCCTGCCTCATCTCCCTTACGGGTCAACTAGGTAAAATGGTGTTCTCCATCACCCGGAAATCTACCGGATTCGTCACCCCTGCTGAGCCGACCCCGACTGAGATCCTTCCACTATCCGCCATTGATCGCATCGAGGGTCTGCGCTACTTGGTGCGATCGGTTCATGTGTTCAAGAGCGGCGTGAGAGCGGCAGAAACTATCAAGCAAGCTATGTCGAAGGCCCTCGTAACTTATTACCCTTTCGCTGGCCGGTTCATCAATGATCCTGAAGATGGTGAAGTGAAGTTAGCGTGTCGAGGCCAAGGCGTGTTGTTCGTTGAGGCTGTCGCTAACTGTAGTCTTGAGGATGTGAGGTTTCTTGACTATCCGCTGATGATCCCGCAGGATGATATCTTTCCGGAGCTCTCGCAAGATATTATTGAGTCAGTCGACATTCCATCCATGATGCAGGTGTGCCTTCGTGGTATTTTTACTTGTTTAGTTATGTGGCACTGTTTTTTTCTTTTGTGTAATCTACATCGTTATTTCATCAAGTTTGATTATGATAGATGTCGTGATCTAGAACTTAACAAAAATTATTTATAATTTTTTTTTATTTAATAACTAAAAAATAGTATATGTAAATAAATACAACGAGATGATACAACTTAATCTACAAGTATTATAATTTGTAATTTTATTTATAATTTATACATATTAAAAGTACTTTTTTGCAAATTAAATTGATAGAAAAAATAATAGAAAAATTCACATACCAAGACACATCAACTTATATATATTTTCATATTTATATTTATAATATTTAGTACATAATCACATTAAAATCAACAAACGAGGAAGTGAATTTTCTATTACAAAATTGACTAG